CTGCAAGGAAACTTGTCAGACATACTCACAGATATAAATACTGTACCTTGTTATTCATGACATATAGAATAGTTGGGAAGACGATATTTTATTTTCCAAGCTAACAAACTGGAGAGAATTCAAAGCAGAGGAAGGCTTTATATATATATGCATATATATATATATTTTTCAGAGGAGGAAGGAGAAAAGAAAGTATGCACAGTTTGGTTGAGCAACGTTTGTCTTTTTGTTTCCCCTCTGCACCATGTGCAGTTGTCCACAGGCTGTGCAGGGGCTGTGAGCACAATTCAAGAGGATGAGCAGAAGTTTGTTGGACAGAGCTCCTGCAATGGACTACTACAAGCAACCTCCTGGCATATACATAGTTGCTACATCGTGGGCCAGTTTTACAGCCACTGGCAGCTTGTTCTATCGGACTGAGATAGTGTATGTAGGCTGATGTAATAACAGTCCACACGTTGTTGTCCACACAACAACGTCTTGGCTGGTTAAGTTATATGGGAGAAATTTTTCATCTCTTTAACGGCCAAGGTGAAATAATCAAGGTGAAAATTGACTAAGACCAGCTTCATAACAGTCCCTGTGTGATGGAAATGGAGCCATTCTTCCATAGTCTGAATGCATTATCATGTGGCACTACTGTACATCCCATAACAACTTCTGTTGGTAGGATAAGAATACTGATGTATGTATGTCACTGGATCAGAGAAGGAAAATAATTTCTCAGTATGTATGGAATTGTACATGAGTGTTTTTTTTCTAAATCTATGTCAACATCTTTTAACAGACTGTTGATGATCTATGTACTATTTTCCAGGGCCTGGGAAAGATGCCTGGGAAAGACATAGCAACTGGGAGTTAGCTTAAATTTGCTACAGTTGATTGTCTCTCCCTTAGAAAACATTTAGAAGCAGTTAAAATGCAAAAAAAAAAAAAAAAAAAAAGCTGAAAGCTGCTAACTTACTTAATAAATTGACTCTGTTTAAAAAGAACAGTATGGAGAAAGTGATTACTTGCTAAACAGAAAAAGCCAGTGACGTCAAGCCCATAATGCCTTTTAAAGAAGTTGTTATCTTAGCTGGCCCCACCTCTATGGCTTTTTTTTTTTTTTTTTTTTAAGTCGCCAGATCTGGGAATTGATGCATTACAGGATGAAAAGAGCCAAGTGAGCTGCACTTGGGTGCAGAAGAACGAAGGCGGGGAGAAAGCGTTAAAAAGCATTTGAAGAATTTTCCCCTTCGATTTGGGAGAGAAATGGTTTGCGAAGTTGGAGACTGGATTAGCTGGTCAGACTATAGGGCAGAATGCTCAAACAACAGCTCCAGCACAGCGATGATGCAAACCAGTTTTGACTGAGGTTTGCCGAGGCGCAGAGCAAGAGCAAGTGATCAGGGTGGGGTTAGCCGCAGCAAGTGGCAAGCTGAGGGAGGAGGTAGGGCTGGGAACTATGAGCACTTGCACCTCTTCATGCTCCACCATGCACCCAAGGTTCAGAGAGGATCTTGTTGGAGACTGTATAACTTTGTCCCAAAGGTTTCAGAGCACGAACTATAGGAGATATGGCCCTGAGATGATCTGCTCTACTTTTTTGTTTTAATATATAAGTCTTCAAGAAAATTGTCACTGTTGTTGCTGCCAGCAGATGCGAAGCTGCCTCTTCAGGGCTGGCATGCTGAGGTATTTACAAGGTGCACAAGGGGAAATAGCTTGGCCCTGTGTGAGAGTAGAGGTGTTATGATTCAGTGGTGGTTTACAGGGATGGTTGAAGGCCTCAGGAACAGGCGGAGGGGATGCTCAGTAAGGCTGCAAGAGGTGAAAAGTGTGTGTAGATCAGGAATTATGCCAACTTAGGTACAAGAAAACAACACCATGGTGTTGGGGCCTTAGTAAGAATATATAGGAAAGTGGAGTTTGTGGGGAACTGGACCGACGCCTAGCGACCGAACACCTGGAGGAGAACCAATCAGCTGGGAGCCTGTAGCCAATGAGTGCTGCTCCTCAGCGCATGCCCACCTGCACCGGTATAAAGCCCTGCTACAGACAACAGCAG